GTTTTATTTTCATAGCTTTTCTAGTAAAAATAGAGATGTAAAATATTTCTCAAATCAGAGCAAATATATAAGCAGAAAACTATAAGTAGAAAGTATAAGTAGAAAATATAAGTAGAACAAATATATAAATTTGTCCGTTTTACCCCATCTAAATTGGTCCATTTTACCCCACATGACAACATTAATATTATTTTATTTTTATTTACCTGTATCAAAATTATTTTTTAAATGTAACTGATGAAATATTACTTCTCAATAACCAGAAATATGGAACTTGTAGAAAAATTTAAAAATATTAAGTTTTGCAATCTTAGTCACTTAAAATGTAATACTAAGAAATTAGATCACGAGATCTATTTGCAAGAATTTGACGTTTCTTTATAAATAACTTACGATAGTCTTATGATATAATGACGTAATTTTTAAACAGTTAAAAAGCATCAAAAAGGAAATTAATTTTATGTTTATCCAGCAGATAGAGGTACTTACTAATAAGATCTAGCAAATGGACCATTTTACCCCGCGGTCCGTCTTACCCCACCTTCCCCTACTATTGTACTATTTAATTCTACTTACGCTATACGCTGCAATGTAATTCTTTCCGAAATAATATACTATAATAATATACTATACATTATATTCTATTTTCTAGAAATCTATTTCTATTATATTACTAATGAAATAAAAGCACAAACTTATATGTCTTTATGTAATTTTATTTTTACATCTATAAATTGTATTTAATAAAGGAACATATCATTAATATATTTTGAACAAATAATAAAGACAAACTCTATACATAAAATCTAAGTACATAAAATTATAAAATCTCGAAATCATAAAATCATGGACACAAAATCTATAATCTATAAAAAAATAAACACAACATATTTTTTTAATATAATTTATAATATAATTTTTAAATATTTATTTGTATTAACGATTGCAATTGCAATACTTTGGCACCAACTCTTATTTTATAATTCAATAACTATTGTGTTTCTCGTAGATTTTCTGCAGATGAACGAACATCAGTCTGGCTTTTTTCTGCAATTTTGCTCGTTATCGTAGCAGAAACTGTACGAGGAGAATTCAGCTGAAATAGGAACAATACTCTTTAAATAACTTTTTACTTTCAAAACAATTATATATATATTTTCGAATTATCTTCGAACTTGTAAATAAATTCAATATAATAAACAAAGAAGATATCAACCAAGACCAGATAATAGTGTTAATAACAATCTTCATTTTTCTTCTTATTTCATACGTTTTGGTTAATATGTAACTATCTTTAACATTTTATTGTAATATATTACATTAGTCCAATTATTTAAAAAATAAGTGAATCCACTCTTAATTTTAACGTGTAAATTTACATATTGACCCAAACGTATGAAATAAGGAGAAAAACGAAGATTGTTATTGGCATTATAACTAGCCTGTCTGCTCGACATTTTCTTTGTTTATTATATTTAATTTTATATAATTTTTAAATTAAAACATACCGAGATCAGCTTAAGAGGCATCACAGGTGTATTGTTTGGTGAATACAAAGGCATTGAAGGTCTCAATGTGTGCATGCTTTGCAAAAAAGTCTGCATGATAAGGTTATTTTGTTCTCTTTGAAAATCACGTTCTTTTTCCATTTCTCTCTGTTCCCACTCTCTTTGCTTTTCCATTTCTTTTTCTACTATGTCTTTGTGCATCTTATCTTGTCGGTCGATCATTGTTTCCAACATGGTTTTTTGACTTTTTAACCACTTCTCAGTATAGCTTTCCAACGTTGATTGGTAACTCTTTCTTCCTGAATAAGACAGATATTCAACGTTATATATTAAATACATAACTTTATTCAAAATTCAACAAAGATGATTATGTAGTTCTCACCAGAGTTTGCTGATTTTTTTCTTTTTTTATTAATTACTTCTTCTTGATGTGGAATATTATTTTCATCCTCATGAGATTCGCCATCAGTGTGTTCCATATTGATTTCAACATACTGTTCCATATCTCCTGTGAGTATGCCAGCTGCAATTATCAAGTTTTATAATTACTTTTGTTGTAATTACCAAACCTACAATTGAATTGTTAACTTACCAGCATCATTCTCCACGTTGCATGTATCAATTCCTGTACCTGAGACAGCTTCTGCACTTGGTCTACAACCATACAATAGGTCCAATTCGTCATAAAATGAACAAGTAGTTGTTGCAGCACCACTGATTTTATTTTCTCTTTTACACTTGAAATAAGCGAGTTTAAGATTTTTTAACTTCAATTTCATCTGCTCTGCAGTTTTTTGGAAGCCTCTTTGTTCCATCTCGGGGACAAGCAACCGAAAAATATCCACATGCTTATGGTTTTTCCCATCCATCATCATTAAAATTTTTTTTTCATTGCACAATTCGAGAAATACTCGTGTTTCTTGTTCTCCCCAATTTTATCCTTTTTTACACGACATTTTTAGATATTAATATTCTTACAGATAACCTACTTTAATAACTAAGAATGAACGACACATTTCAACTTGTCGGCCATACCATGTGTATTTAATATACATGTGTTTACAGCGTTGTGTATTTCCTTAATCCGCGTACTATTTTAATACGATACCCAGTTTCGATCCGTACTAAACTAAGTCGGTACATTGTCGTTTACACTATCGTACCAAGCCAACTTGATACGAATATAGTTCTTGATACACGTATCAAATGGTCGGTGTAAACTAGGCCAATAACCTATTCTTCTAGTAAGTCAGATTTTCCCCTAGGAATTTGCAAGTGAAAAATTAATTAAACAAATATGCAAACAAGAGTTAACTAGTGATATTCTTCACGGTGGTTCTCTAAACTATTAATTAACTTAACAAAAATATAAGTAAAACATTTTCTAATTAATGTTATTATACAAATAAATTGTACTTACCTATAACTAGCCTGATCTCTCTTCATCGACGATTGGTCCCTAAAACAGATAATAATTATTAATTATTATTGAACAGCCTGACTGCAACCCCATCCGCGACACCATCTGAAACAAAAGAGTAAACAATTAAAATACAATTAATATAATATAACTATTAGATTATTACTTACCTCATCCGCGTAGTATCTCGTCAATTCCCCGCTGGACTTCTTCTGGCACCATCTGAAACAAAAAAAATAAGTATTAATAAAACTATAACATACAACTAACAATTTCTATTATTTTTATCCACATAAATTGAACATTTTCACTTACCGTGATGGATCTCCCTAAATGTCCCGGTCACGTCGATCAGAAAAAGCCATTCAACTAAAACGACTAAGATACGGTCTACTGTCTGAACCTGACCTCTCGCAAAGGTCGATTTTAGAGTACCTACTCCTTATAGAGGATTATAACAGTCCGGACGAGGACTCTCTAATAAGATTTAGCCCTCCGTATGACCCGGAGCTAACTCAATTCACGACAGAATTAGGGCAAGAACACCTCTTCAACGCGCTAAATAGGGATATTTCCCTCCTCAACGTAATTGGTGAATCGCAGCTTACAAATACTGGACAACGGTCCTTGATTGGAAAGGTGGACTCTTCTCCTCACGTTTCAGAAAACGAATACAATTCTGATGCATCCTTACTAGCCTCTACGGTTAAAATCAATTGGAAAGCACTAAAGAAACTCCCTAGAATTATATTTAATATGATTGTTTTCCTTAAGTTTAAGATAATTTATCCACCGCCGGTGATAACCTTAGATTAAGCTTAAACAACTTAAGAGCTATATTTCGAACCTTCTTCCTCCTTATTTTGTTCCTATATTAATCAAAAAGTACAATTATACATCTAACTATATTCTTTAAAGTGATGATGTGTATTTTCTAGTGATATTTGATTTATCCCTAGATGTGATTCTACCAGTATTCTTTAATTCCCTTATGTTAATAAGATTGTTATGTTAATTTTATAAAACTTATCTCCATTCATAATTATTGGTTCGGTTACGTTAAGATTATTGTTATTATTATTATTATTACTGTATTCTTTTCTTTAAGATTAAGAGATCTTATTGTAAATTATGCTTTTTCTTACTTCTATGAGCATAGAAGGCGTGAAACGCGTATAATTAATACCGACAGAGTCAATGAATTGTCCGTGAATTAGCTTACGCAGATTCGAACAAAGAGATCCGAGCCGACAAACCACGAGGAGGTTGAAACACGGCGTGGAAACTTTAAAACGCGGAATCACAACACGAACGTATTGTCAGGAGAAATGAGGATTAAAAGTGGCAAGCGACACTGATTGTGAGTGCGATATACTATTCTTTTTATTTCTCGAATACTACAGCAAGCGGATCGCGACACGTTGATACACCGCGGAAGACTCACTGCCCTTCTTCTCGTTCTTCTTCTGTTTTTTCTTTACACTGCCAATCGTACGCGAGAAACGCGAAGTACATGGCGCTAAC